CTGTCTACACTGGCCACTTGAATTTCCGCAAAAGCACTGACTTCCTACTGTAAGAAATCAGTGCTTCTTGCGGAAATACTGTACTATGCTGCTCCCGTTCAGGCAAAAGTCCCTTTTTGTGCAAAGCTTTTGCGCAAAAGGGCCAGTGTAGACAGCTGAGATTTGTTTTGCGCAAAAAAGCCCCGATCGCAAAAATGCCGATCAGGGTTTTTTGCGCAAAAGCGCATCTAGATTGGCATGGATGCTTTTCTGCAAAAAGTGCTTTTTTGCGGAATAGTGTCCGTGCCAATCTAGACGCTTTGTTCTGAAAATGCTTTTAACGGAAAACTTTTCCGCTAAAAGCATTTCTGGAAAACCTTGCCAATCTAGACGCAGCCAGAAGTAAGGAAGAGGGATACCCTGACATTAGCACCCTCCATTCTGCACGCATGCAGGAGGCTCCCAGGAGAGGTTGGCCAGTGTCTCCAAGGCAGAGGGTAAGAACAATGGGCTGTAGAGCAGCTGGGGAAGGGGCACCTGGATGTCTGTGGCACTTGACTAACCCGTGGGTGCCACACAGCTTAGAGGGAACACAGGACACAAAATGTCATAGGTACAGGTATCCTGTATCTTAAACCCCTTTGCTGTCTCAACTGCACTTCTCATGTGGCCAAATTTACTACCTTCTTCCCTACCTGAATGGAAATGTGGTCCTGCCAATCTTAGCCCCTTGTTTAGTAGCCATGTTAAATCCTTAGGTCTAATAGTATTTGCTACTTGCAAAAAAACTGCCTTCTAGAAGCATGTGGCCAGTGTCTGATTGAAGTGTATCAAATCAGCTGCTTTACAACAAATGTCTTTTTGTTTATTCCAAAGGAAAAAAGTACATACAATAAAAGCCTGTATTCATCATGTCTTGCATAATATGATGGCATGATATACACTGCCTTAGGAAGTCACCCAATAAGATCAGATGCCGCTTAATTCAACTTTTCTGTCAGCTTGGGCACCCTTTAATCCTGTCTTGTAGATCTGGGCTTTTAAACCTCCCCCAACATGCAGAGGGAGGGGAGAGAAGAGGAAGCTAGAGCCGGGAGGGCCCACCGAAGTGCAAAAAGATAGACTCTTGAGATCACCTCTAGGAAGGCTCAGCTTAAAGGACTTGCCACAGCACACAGATGCCCATCCTTCTTGGAGTGCAAACCCAACAGCATTTGAAGTTCACCTTTTTGCTCAATATGGAAGAAGCTGTGCACAATCGCTTATTCTCCCTGCCACCACCGTTAGAAATAACATAAACTAGATTATATTATAAACAAGAAATAAGTTTATTTACAAAAGGTAGGTTTTGAGAGCTTAAAGAACTAGACAAAGTGGTAGCCACAAATTGTACCACAGGAAAAATATTTCTAAATTCTCAAGCAAGCAGAACAAATTAGATTACTAGGAAAATAAAGCAAAGCATACAAACTAAACTTGATAGACTAAAGAAATTGCTTGCAAATAATTCCTCACCCTAGATATTGTTTAGATAGAGTCCTTCACAGGCCCAGTATATTTTAGCTTGGGTCCAGCAGGTCTCCTGCCCCCAACCTCTCAATAGCAGTCCTAGATGTTTTTAAATATCTCTTTATATGGGGAGGTAGAGAAGAAGCAAACTGAAGATTTTAACTGGTTTCCTCCCCCACCTTATACTAGGATTTCCATAAGGTGGGAATCCTTTGTTTGGTTCACCAGCCCACAGTGGAACAGTTCAGCAGTCCAAGATGGAGGTTGGTATGGGGCAGCCAGGTTATCTGACTCTAGCATCCTAGTGGCCTTGAGTCACTGGCAGTACAGATTGTCCACAAGAAGGCCAAGCCTTTTTCACAGGTCATTGTCCTCACTGATGGGTCATTAGTCCTGTCTGGTTTCTTTAGCCATTGGAAGTTTTAGTAGTGGGCATCATTTAAAGTAGAATAGTTGAAATGCAGATACATTAGTCAATATTCCTAACTTCAGGTAAAAAAATGATATATGCATACAAATAAGATAATCATATTCATTAAATCATAACCTTTCCAATGATACCTTCCTTACATATGTTATCTTTCATAAAGCACATGGTGATGCTGTATCCATATCATAAGCACATATTCATAAAGAATATTGAGTGTAATGTCACATATGAACTTTATCTTTTCCTTTCAAGTTTAAGAAGGTTCTGCTAAACCCACATATTCACACCTTTGGATTGAAAGAGACAGACTATCCTGTATCAATCCAGACTATCCTGCTGCATTCTCTGTCAGCACTGCTTCTCAAGCAGCTGTTGGCAGCTCACCTCTCCTTTCTTCCTCCAGGAGGGTACCTTTAGCTGTTCATGGTCCAAATGATCTAAGGATCTGGCATTGGTAAAATAGCTTGGGATTGGAGCCTGAGAATAGCGTTTTGCCACAAACTAATCCAAATTTAGAGATGTTTATTTTTATGTGTCCTATCAATGAACATTGTTTCATTTCCTGCTTGATCTTTTTGGTCTTGACGTACTCAGAATAATATCAAGCAGATAAATTCAGGAACAGATATTCATAAACAATAATGCAGATATCTCCTGTGTTCTCCACATAAAAAAACGGCCTTTACACCCAGATCAACTGGATTTGTAAAGTGTTCATATGTTCTATGAAACTCCAGACTGACTAAGAGACATACCGTCGATGGAGCCATGTAAAATAGTTTATTTGGCATAGTCAAAGAAACGGGGATTTAAATAATCCCCACTTCATTACAATAAAAATGGCCGCTGTGCTGTGCCGACGATCCGCTGATCCAGCACAGCGCGGCAGTCTAGACGCGGCGCGGTTGACAAAGGAAGCCTTTGTCGACAGCTCCAGTAAACCTCGTTTCACGAGGCATACCGTGCTTCTTTTACTATGCTGAGAAAACTATTTTACATGGCTCCATCGACGGAGCCATGTAGTCTAGACGTAGCCATAGAGTATAAGACCAGGAAGGCCTGCTCCAATCATCTCTCCTGTAAAGCATGGATCACAGATCTTTCCTGAATTATTGTTGAACTAGAGCATTCCTTTTAGAAGAGCATCCACTCTTGATTTAAAAATTGCCAGTGATGGAGAATCCACAACAACACTTGGTAAGTTGTTCCAGAGGTTATTTACCCTCCCTGTGAAAAATTGAACCTTATTTCCAGTCTGATTGTAGCTAGTGTCAGCATCCAGCATCATATCTTGTTAGCTTGCTGAACCTGGAGGCTTTGTTTAGAACAGTGGTGGGCAATCTGCAGCCCATGGGCTGCATTAGGCCCACTGAGCTCAACCTGCACCCCGTGGACCTCCTAGCCACCCTTCTCCCCAGCACTTTTAGAGGAGCCACAAATTGTCTGATTCATGCTCCATCCTCGTTCCTCTCCCTTCCTCCCTCCAGCTGTTCACAGTGTTCCAGCTCTGCGAGGGACAGGGAGGAGCAGGCAATTTGCACACTCTGAAAGTGCTGGAAGGGAGGGGGAGGAGCAGGTAAGTATGGGGCTCTGATGCCCTCATACTCCAGAGGCATATGAGGGGACGGGGATAGACTGGGAGTTCATGGGGCTGCAATTTAAATCCCAGTGGGCCGTGGGATGCTGCAGCTCACTGATGTGAAGGAGGGTCAGTCATGTGGCCCACCCACACCATTCCTGGTTGCCAGTCCCTGGTCTAGAGGTTTCACAGTCCTCATTAGCATTCCTACACACTGTCATTCTTCAGCTTATAGTATCTTGTCATAGCTTTATTGTCATATCTACCAAACAATAGATTTCAGTATCCATATTTTATTTTTACTTTCCTCTGCATATTTGATCATTCCAAATGTCTTTCTGACATGCCAAAAGATGCCTTCT